TCGCCTCAGGTGGTTTCTTGGCTACTCCTACCCTGATTAGCAGCAGCTTGAATCTGCCCTTTGGAACTCAGGGAAGGTCATGGAGGCTGGAGTCTTGCCTGCAAGAAATGGGGGAGAAAAAACAAGAGGGCTCAATGCCCAGGAGCCTCACTCGGTTTCAGGGTTATGAGACAAGGAATGTGATGGTCTCTAGAAGGTGGCAAGGAAACAGATTCTGCCCTAGATCATCCAGAAAGAATGCAGCCTTGCTGACACCTTGATTTTAGCCCAGTGAAATCCAGGGTGGACTTCTGACCTCTAGAACTGTGAGGTAATGAGAGTGTATTGGTTAAGCCACTAAATTCATGATAATTTTTTTACAGCAACAATGGAAACTGATATATACCATTAATTATGATGTTAGGTGTGGCTTTTTCATAGATGCCCTTAGTCAGGAAGTTCCTGTTTGTCTTGAGTTTGTTCAGTGTTTTTATCACAAAAGGGTTTTAGAGTTTGTTAAGCGCTTTTTCGGCATCTACTGAGATGATCCTGTGGTTTTTATCTTGTATTCTAATGATATTAATCGAATTTCACATGTTAAATCCGCTTTGCATTACTGGAATAAATGCCACTTGGTAATTAATCCTTTTTCTAAGTTGCTGGATTCAGTTTTGCTGAGGATCTCTGCATGTATATTGGGCCATAGTTTTCTTTTATTTTGATGTCTTTGTCTTTTATATCAGGATAATACTGGAGTCACAGTGAAACCGTGTGACTCAGAATGGGACTTGAACCCACGGTCTTTTAACTGAGATCACACGCTTGGTCTCAGGACTTTATGAAGCTCAGGTTCTTGATGTCTCATTGCAGAAAGAATTCAGTGAGAGACAAAGTGGTAGGTAAGAAGTGGATTTATTTAGAGAGAAACACACTTCACAGAGAGTGGGCAAGAGCTGCACCAGAGTATGGGGTTGTCAGTTTTTATAGGGGTGGGTAATTTCATAGGCTAATGAGTGGGAGGAGTATTCCAGTTATTTTGGGGAAGGGGTGGGGGTTTCCAGGAATTGGGTTACCACCCACTTTTTGACCTTTGTGGTCAGCCTTGAAACTGTCATGTCATCTGTGGTGTGTCATTTAGCTTGTTGATGTGTTACAATGAGAATATAGAGGCTCAGGGTCTAGTGGAGCCATCTTGGACCTAGTTTGTTCTGATCAGTTTATGTTGTGTCCTTGGGCTATGTCATTCTTTTAAAGGTTATGCCCTGCCCCCTTCCCTCCTGGATCAATAGAACAAGCTGGGAAGTGTTCCTTCCTCTTCTAATTTTAAGAAGATTTTGTGAAGAACTGGAATTAATTCCTCTTTAAGTGTTTGACAGAATTTACCAGTGACACCATCTCTTTCTGTTGATCATACTTAGAGCTTCTTGGATGTGGATAATGTTTTTTTAATCAAATTTAGGAAGCTTTCAGCCATTATTTCCTTGAGTATTTTCCTGATGGTTTTTCTCTCTTTTCTCCTCTGGCATTTCCATTACATGTATGGTAGTGTACCTAATGATGTCCCACTTTTCTTGGAATTCTCTGTTCATTTCACTTCCTTCATTTTCTCTCCATTCTTCTGATTGCACCGTCTCTATTAGTCTACCTTTAAGTTTGCTTATTATTTCTTCTGTCAGCTCAAATCTACTGGTGAGCCCCTCTAGTGAATATTTCATTTCGGTTACTGTACTTTCCAATCCCATAATTTTAGTTTGGTCTTCTTTTGTAAAAAATATTTTTTATCTCTTTGTTGGTATTCTTTATATGAAATAAGGTCATCATATGTTCCTTTATTTCTTTGAGCATGATTTTCTTTGGCTCTGAACATATTTATTATTGCTGCTTTGACGTGTTTGTTAAGCCTGACATCTGGGTGCTCTCAAAGGCAGTTTCTCTTGCCTTTTTTTTCTTCCTTATGGTCACGCTTTCCTGTTTCTTTGCATGGCTCGTACATTTTTTTTTTTTTTTTGCTGTTGTTGAAAACTGGAGATTTTAGATATTACATTGTAGCAATGCTGGATATTGATTCCTCCCCCACTCCTCCCTGGGCCTGTTGCTTGTACTGTTTGCTTATTTGTTTAGTGACTTGGATGGATATTCCAGTAAAGTCTGTTTCCCTTAGTGTGCAGCTCTGACTAAGGGGGTGCAGCCTCGGGATGACTGTTTTTCTTTAGGGCCCTCTGACTTTCCCTCATCTCTCTGCTAAGCTATCTGCCTTTGTTGGTGCTACACCCAACTGTTAGCGTAATTGCAAGGTAGGCTCTTTTGTTTTCAGCAATGTCCTGGGGTACAAATTGCTCCACCAGCTCCTCTAGGCGCAGCTCCTGAAGTATGCATGGCTTCCCTAGACCTCGGGTCCTGCAGCGTCTGTGATTTTGTCAGCTCCAGCTCCTGCTGTTTGGATGGCATCTCTTGTAGTAGCTTTCCCTTCCAGGCCCCTTGGGTAGTTTCACTGCAGAATGCCTCCAGCCAGATACTTTCCTGTGAATGAAGGGCTTTTAATAGCACCCAGGAGGGCAGATTTCCAGCAAATTTCTTTGGGTGAGGGTTGGGGTAGATGCCATCAAGTCCCACTGGTACAGCAGCAGAGCAACTATTAACCAATTCAGTGAGGCCCTCTCCAACAAGCTCTGGACCTCAAGCCAATTGGGTGAGAGGTGGGGTTTTTCCTTTGGGTGAGCTATCTCAGCCCTATTACCAATAGCTGTTCAGTATATCTGCAATTATTTTGAGCTTTCTTTACTTCTTGCTTCTTCTCTTGTGACTCCCTGTTATGGTTAATAATTCCTTCTGTTGCACTTTTCCTCACACAGTGCAGAAGCTGGGTGCTGGCAAAGCCATGTGGTCTGCAGGATCCTGCTGTGTGAGTACCTGGAACCAGGAAGCAGAGCCCTTCTCTCCTGAGATGTCTTTCCAGTACTCTTACTTTTTTTTTTTTTTGGTACACGGGTCTCTCACTGCTGTGGCCTCTCCCGTTGCGGAGCACAGGCTTCGGACGCACAGGCTCAGCGGCCATGGCTCACGGGCCCAGCCGCTCCGCGGCATGCGGGATCCTCCTGGACCGGGACACAAAGCCGTGTCCCGTGCATCGGCAGGCGGACTCTCAACCACTGTGCCACCAGGGAAGCCCTCTTTTTTTTAAAAAAATTAATTAATTAGCTTATTTATTTTTGGCTGCGTTGGGTCTTCCTTGCTGCACTTGGGCTTTCTCTAGTTGCGGTGAGCGGGGGCTACTCTTTGTTGCAGTGCGCGGGCTTCTCACTGCGGTGGCTTTTCTTGTTGCGGAGCACGGGCTCTAGGCGCGCGGGCTTCAGTAGTCATGGCTCACGGGCTCTAGAGCACAGGCTCAGTAGCTGTGGCGCTTAGTTGCTCCACGGCATGTTGCTTAGTTGCTCCACGGCATGTGTGATGTACTCGGACCAGGGATCAAAGCCGTGTCCCCTGCATTGGCAGGCGGATTCTCAACCACTGTGCCACCAGGGAAATCCCTCCACTACTCTTTCTTGACAATGCTTTGGTGCCAGTGGACAAAGGAAAGACGTTGAAAGGTTCCAGCCCATTTTCACAGAGCAGGCAAAAATTACGAGTTTGGAGCTAAGAGGCAATGCAGTGATAACTGGCAAAAACTCAAATGTCCTTCAGCAGCAGAAGGACAAATATACCACAAATATACCAAATATACCACAAAAGTTGTGGTATATTCATACAATGGAATGCGATACCAGAATAAGAATGAATGAACCGATACATACAACACGGAAGATACATACAATAGTGTTCAGCGAAAGAAGCCAGACATAAAGGAACACTCTGCGTGATTCCATTTGCATAAAATTCAGAAACCAGCCAAATGAGTCTTGGCTGTTAAAGGAAGGATTGTGGTTATCTCTGGTGGGTGTAGTAACTGGGGGAGGGGGCGGTGGTGACGTGGAGAAGATGCTATTTATCCTGGTTCGGGTGCTGGTCACTTGGGTGTTTTTGTTTTGTGAAAACTCCTCAAGCTTATCCTTATGATTTAAGCACCTTTACATATGCACATGTGTGCACGTATTTGTTTATTATAGCTCAGCAAAACTGGCTTGAAAAGTGAGAGGGTGTTTACTCACCCAGGTTCATTGCAGCACTAGTCACCGTTCCTCAGTTAGGTTCTCTATCTCCTTCTTACAGGAGAGGAAATGGACATGCAGAGAACAGACATAACTTACCTAAGACCACAGAGCCAGTAAGTGGAAAAGGCAGGATTCAACCCAGGTGGGCTCGCTTCTGAGTGGGTCCTGTTAACCTTGGGCTCCGCTGCCTCTCCCCAGGGGAACTGGAGCATCAGAGCGGGGTCAGGACAGCCGACTGGAATAAGAGGCCCTTTGCCCACCTCGACCAGATGCACAGGAGGAAGCCTGGCCGTGTGTCTCCTATTTTACACTTGAAAGATCAGGCCAAAGACTCCTGTGCAGCTCGCATGAGACCTCTCCCTTGGTGCCCAGCTGCGGGTTCTGTTTGAGCCTGATCTCTGCTGAGCCTTTGGGAAGCCTATCTCCCAAGACTGCCCCTGGTCCCTGTATTTCTTAAGGAAGTAGGTCCCTCCGGCTCCCACTGGTCGTGTTGTGTTTATGTTTAAGAAGCCAGGTCAGGTCACAGGTCAAAATTAATCCAAAAAGAGTGGGAGGCTACCAAATGTAAAATAGATAGCTAGTGGGAAGCAGTCACACAGCACAGGGAGATCAGCTCGGTGCTTTGTGACCACCTAGAGGGGCGGGATAGGGAGGGTGGGAGGGAGACGCAAGAGGGAGGGGGTATGGGGATATACGTATGCATATAGCTGATTCACTTTGTTATACAGCAGAAACGAACACAACACTGTAAAGCAATTATACTCCAATAAAGATGTTAAAAAAAAGAAAAAGAGTGGGAGGGAGGAGACAGCCGATATGACCAGCTCAAGTCCCACTGACAGAAGTTCCTAAACTCCTCACGGGCTCGGAAACATGGTTGTCCCGTGGCTGGTGCTTCTAGCTGCACTGTGCACCTTTCTCCTGGGGGTCTTTGTCTGGGCTGTCTTTGAGCACTTCCTCACCACAGGTGTCCCCTCTACTCTGCAACATCCTGCCAAGTTCCGATTTCTGCACTGCATGTTCCTCTACATGGTCACTTTGGTGAGTTTGCACTCAGGCCCTGTCATGGGTTGGGGCACTCTCTCTCTCTCTCTGCCTTGCCCCTCCTTTCCATCTTTCATTTGCCTTCCCTCTCTCTCTTCAGACTCCCCCAAGAAAGACAGACCTTGCTATAAAGTGGGCTCTCCATGTCCGCGGGTCCTGCATCCTTGGATAGGGGGTCGACTGTAAGAGATTGAGCAATGAAAATGTTGGTATCATGGCGGTCCTGGAGCCAGTCCTTCATGGACGCTGAGGGACGGATGACAGTCCTCTCTCTTGTGCCTGCGATTCTGTTTCTCTCCTTCTTCTTGTCCTTCATCTCGCCTGCCCCCCGCCTCCTTTCCTTTCTTCAACAGCAAATATTTACTGAGTGCCAATCACCAGGCTCATTTCTGAGGATTCCCAAAGGATTCCAGACCCAGCCTCTGCCCTGAAAAAGCTTATAGCCTGACAGAATGAACTTGCTTCAGCCACAGTGTCTTCCCCCTCATGGCACACAGGCATTTTCCTCCTGCTTAGATTGCAAGCACCTGGAAGGCAGGGACCACCTTATGCATCTCTGCAAGCCTAGCCCCAAGCCCAGGGCCTGGCACCTAGCAGGTGCTTACTTACCATTTGTTGATCAATCCACCAGGGAATTCACCCAGCATTTCAGAGTGCCCACACCAGCCAGGCTCTGAACAGGGGTTTGGGATTTGGGGTAGAACGGTGCATGCCTAGAACAGCAGATTTGGAAACAGTTTGGCACTAAGAGGCAGGCAACTTGATTTAATCCCAATGTCCCAGCCCTGGGTGGAGACCTGATGGCAGCCAGACAGTTCACAATGATGACCTGTGGGGAGAACAACTGTTGAAGGAGGTGAGGAGGCCACGCTCAGCTCTGACAGCCGCTCCCTGGCTGTGTGATCTTGGGCAAGTTACTTCACCTCTCTGTGCCTTGGTTTCGTCATCTGCAAAGGGGGAACAGTTGCATTGCTTCCATCAGGTTGGTAAGAGGATCAAGATGATGGGTGATAAGGGCTCATTTGTTTGGTGATATTTGGTAAATAAGTAAAATATGTTTCTGTGCTGCTGGAATGTTTCACCAGGGAAACAGATGACTTTCCGAGGAATGAACAAGTCTATGTCATAATTACATGAACGTCACTGCCCCAAGGAGACAGGCTGAGGATGCGGTACTAGGATCTCTCTTATTAATCCTGGTCACGCACTTTGCTGGAGGTCAGGCTGTCTCAAGCCAGTGGCTGCAATCCTTATGGAATTATAGGCTAGTTTGAGGCCCTAGGGCTGAAAATGAGGGCCTCAGATGTCCAGGTGGCCCAGAAAACCCGAGACCTTTCCAACCTTCAGTGTTTCTCCTCAAGAGTAGCCCACAAGCCAGGCATCTCTGATGACAGCTGCTCACGGGAGCCTCTGAGATGGGCCGTGGAGGGTGAATCCAGCTCACGATGTCCCATCCTCGTCCCCCCAGCACTGAGCCCTCCTAGGACAGACGGCTCGTCACAAGGTGACTATGATAAGGATGATGGTATCCAAGTGGTCACTTGGTTCCAGAAGACAGATAGGTACAGGAAGGATAAGAATTTTAGGGAGAAGGAGACAGAACCTAAAAGCTTCTATGGCCCAGAAACCAGGTGTCTAGTTTTGGTATCAGACAACCTTGGGTTTGAGACCTGAATCTTCACTTGCTAGTTTTGTAGACTAATGTCTTTGAGTCTCTGTTTTCTGCTCTGAAAAATGCGGACAGCAAGAGACGCTTTTTATAGGTGTGAGGTGGGGATTGAATGAGAAATGCATTTAAGGTGCAAGGTACAGTGCTGGGCACTTAGAAAGGACTCCATAAAAATAGATTATTATTAGTATATATATCAAATCTCTGAAGGCAAAGACACAGCATTTCCTAAAATCATTATTGATTTAAAAGCTGTGATGAGTGATTTCAGCCTTACTAAAAGATATGATGACTTATATAACAAATCCTATAGATTTTATTTTATTTTTTGTTTTTGTTTCATTTTTTGACCTCTTCCCAGGGTGTGTAGGATCTTAGTTCCCTGACCAGGGATTGAACTCGCGCCCCCTGAGTTGGAAGCGTGGAGTCTTAACCACTGGACAGCCAGTGAAGTCCCTAGATTTTATTTTAAAGGGCAAACTCTGCTAGAATATTTTGTGAAAGAGTTTCAATATCCATCTAAAGTCCTGGATCTCAGGCGTTCCTAAACTAGTGATGGTCCCCTTTATACTACTACTAATACATTCTTATAAATAATATCAAAATATTATATTTATAATACTTATATATGCACATTATAACATTTATGCAAATAATATAGAAATATAATGTTTATACACACAATATATTTATAATATTTATATATAAATAATATGTATTTATAATATTATATAATAATATATAATAATCAATCTTCCTTATTTGCCTCTGTCCTAAATTACCAGCTCTGGCAAATGTGGAGTCACTGTGGGAAAAAACAAACCAAATCTAACTTCCTGGCTGTATCTAGTGACCTTTTAGAATGTCGCGCTAAGAGACGTTTATCACCACATTGCATCGTTCAAAATCCCTGAAACATTTGCTCTTCTAGGTGCTGGAAATGGATTCCTCAGATGTGGGCTAAGTGGTGGGGAAAGTAGGTCATCTCCACCGCGTTGGTCACCTTGCTCCTACCTTAGGCCGGCAAATAGGGATTTTGTTGGGAGTTCCCTTTTGAGAAGCCTAAGCCTTGGCAATGGGGCAGTGGGGACGGGGGTGGGGTCGTCTCCATGGAGTGAATGCACTGGGTCATCCCATAAACCTGGGGCAGGACCCAGTATGAGCTCACACTTACCAGGACCCACCAGTGACACACTCCATATGGGTGGTTGCATCTAATTCCCAAGCTTCATCCTCAGGGACTGTAGACTCCATTCTTCTATTTTATAAAATGAGGAAAACTGAAGCTCAGAGAAGGTAATGCTCAAGATCTTTCAGTGAGTCGGTGGTAGTAGAGCTAAGTCTTGAATCGAAATCTGCTGGCCTTAAGAACCCAAGCTCCTTCTAGTTTAGTTCTACATCTTACTTGTTGACAGGCAAGGCACTTGACCTTGGCATGCCTCACTTATCCCATCTGTGAAATGGAGCTTATAATTGTGCTTGACTTAGGAGGGTCTCTGAGTAGTTTAAGCCAGTTAATAATCCAAATCACTTGGACCAGTATTGGCATGTTGTAGGAGACTAATAAGTGTCAGCTGTTCTTATTATGTTCACAATTATCCCGTGCTGTTTTCTTTATGACAAAGACACATATTCCATGCGAGGTCCACGGAAGAGATGATCCATTATGGCTGAAATGCATTTAGTACATGAGATATGGTACCATGTAACTATATTTCATGAAATATTCAGATATTTTGCTTGTTTATAACTAGAGTGACCATATTAATTTAAAAACAATGGACTTCTTTTCACATTCGGCAAATATATAGCCTTTGTGGCATTGCCCCTTCCCCCTGAGCCCATGGCAGACATCCTTAATTGATCCCATGACTCTTTCCTGTTGAACACAAATGAGACCTAAGGGTCTGTCATAACCCAGAGAGGCAATGATGGTGTTGACCCAGGTGATGGGCCGTCTTTGCCGTCTTAGGCTGGGAGCCAACGAGAGGGAGGTTGCCAGCCAGCTGCCTTGGACATTGGCTTTGATCAGTTCAATGCCCAACCACTCAGCCCAAACGTGGGCTAGCTCTTTGGCAAATTTATACCACTATTCAACCAAGAGCTTTGGGGAGGAGATTCTGAAAGCCCAATGCTTTATCTGGACACAACCTAGAGCCTGATGAGCCCTAGGTTCATGCCCTTGAGGCAGATAAGAAACTGCAGAAACATCCCAGCAGTTACAAGGGGCAGGAGTCATCCACCATCCAGGTGGATCCTAACCTCTCCTAATATCTCCCGCTCTTTCTCTTACCTCTAACAGGGGAATATACTTGAGAAATTGAGGATTTGCTCCATGCCCAGATTTATTCAGTTTTTGCACAACCGCGTGAGAATCAAGAAGGACCCTGGGCTTGTGGTAACCAACCTGCGTTTTGGAACTGTACCCATGAGGCTGTTCCAGCCCAAGGTGGCCTCCCCCAGCCCCCGGCGAGGCATCGGCATCTTCCACGGAGCGGGCGCCGTATTAGGGAGCCTGGGTAAGATGGTCCCCGGCGGCTTCGTGAAGGAAGAGCCTCATCTTCATGCAAAGCTCTACCCACCCCTCCCATGGGAACCTTGTTGGAGTCCCTCCAAGGAATCAGCAGCTGGAGGTTTTTATAGGGAGCCCTGACTAAGGGCTTTGGGCTCAAGTCAGCAGATGGTGTGAAAACATTCTTTTTTATACTATGATACTCTTGGTCAAGGAGAGGGTGGTGAAGTGGCCAGGGCTGGAGTGGGGTGGCGTTTGGTGTTTATGACCCTGCAGTGTTGACTCTTCTTCGCTCCCTCACCACTCACAGCCATTGACCAGTCCTGTCTGTTCTCACCCCACAGTATTTCCCAAACCCATGTGTTTCTCTCCGGCTCTGCAAGATTCCTGTGATCCGAAGCCACCTTCTCTTGCCCGCATCCCTTTATCCCTACATCCCAGTAACTGCTCTCCCCATGTCACCCCTCACAGTCTAATCCTCACCCAGCAGCCAGAAAGAACCCTTAAAAATACGAGTCGGAACTTGTCAGTCTTGCAGTGAACACTTCCTGTGGCTTTACAGGGTCTTCAGGTGAAATCCCAACTCCTCCCCACAGCTGGTGCTGGCCCTGCACACCTCTCCAACCTGGTCACCCGGGTCTCCCACCTCCCACAGCGATTCACTCTGCTGCAACCATGCTGCCTCTTCCTCTGGGCTTTGGACACACCAGGCTCCTTCTCACCCTGAATCTCCTGCACTTGCTGTTCCCAAGTCCTGCAAAGTGTGTCTCCCCTCACCGCTGCTTTGCAGGACGGGTGACCCCTTCTTCATTCTTCCAGTCTGATCTCAAATGTCTCTCCGCAGAGTGGGCTCCCTGGACGTCTTATCTAAAGAACTCTCCCTGCCCACTCTAGTGCCCTACCCTATGCCCGCCCCCCACCTCCATCCCTGACATCATCCTTTAAAGTTTTCTTCATGGCACTTGTCGCAATCTGAGCTTATCTCATTCCTCCGGGTGTTTCCTTATTTACCGTCTGCCTTCCCTAACTAAAAGTGGAAATTCCAAGAGTGCGAGAAAGTCTTCTATTTTGCTTGCTACAGGATCCTCAGGGCCAGGCCTGTGGTTTTATTTTTTGAATGGATGTATGAGTGCATGAATATATAGATGGATGGATGGGCAAATAACTGGGTGAAAGGATATGTTCATGAACCAACAAACAAATGGATGGATGGAGGGATGGCCACACAGGAGAAAAAATTTTTTAAATTAATTTTTATTGGAGTATAGTTGATTTACGATGTTGTGATAGTTTCTTGCTGTACAGCAAAGTGAATCAGAAATACGTATACATATATCCACTTCTTTAGATTTCCTTCCCATTCAGGTCACCACAGAGCATTGAGTAGAGTTCCCTGTGCTATACAGTAGGTTCTCATTAGTTATCTATTTTATACATAGTAATGTAATATGTCAATCCCGGTCTCCCAATTTGTTCCACCCTCCCCTTCCCCGTTGGTAACTATAAGTTTGTTCTCTACGTCTGTGTCTCTATTTCCGCACAGGAGAAAATTTGCCCATGTGAAGAGGTGGGCTGTTGGCATTACATGTTCCCTGAGATTAGGGTGTACTGCCACCTGGTGGTGAAAATACAACATCTGAATTTGCTGCCCTGAAGCTCTCCCCTTTTCAGAAGTTAATTATGAATCATCTCCCATCTACTGGCCTCACCCTTGTCCAAGATCACTCTTCCCTTTCAGAGGCCCCGGGGAGCACCCCCATTCATTGGCTGGGTCTGTACCCCTTCCTCTGTGGAGGGATGACGTTATTTCCAAAAGTAAAACTGGGGCTCACTCAGCAAATGTTTACTGAGCACCTACTTTGTGTCAGACCCTCTTTGAGGCACGGGGGACACTGTGGAGAACAAGAAAGGTCCTCATTGGAGCCCACTCAAATCAGGGGGCTGGACAGTGAAACAAATGAGTAGGGTAATTTCACATCGTGGTAGCACAGAGCGATGGAGTAGAGAATGACTCAGGGAGCAGATTTAATTTTTCCTATCAGAGGAAGCCTCTCCGAGAAGGCAAAGTTTGAGCCCAGGATCAACTGATGAGAATGAGCCGGCCCTACAGGGGCCGGGAAAGAGAGCTCCAAGCCTTATGGGAATGGGGTCAGGCAGGTGAGGCACCCTCCGTGGCCTCCGTATTTAAAGGGGCACCCAAAACCACAGTGATCCAGATAAATATATTTTTATGCAATATTAAAAATATCAGTATTGATGCAGAAAACTAAGATGAAAAACACCAACGTTTATATAAAAGCAGGATGCAAGAGAGCTGGGTAAGTCGTGCAAAAGCAAAGGAGGATTCTATTTAAAATTTCGATATGTTGTTCATCACGGACGTTTCTGGCATTCATTTTGATTCCTTAAAATATTGCACCAAACTATTATTTATCTTGGATAATGAGTGTTTGGACGCTCCCTTAATTTTGCGCCCAAGGCGAGTGCCTTGCTTGCCTCACCCTAGTCCCTGCCCTGTTAAGGGAGAGCAAGTGCAAAACCTTGGGTGCTCAAGAGAAAGAAGAATGTCGGGACCACAGAGTGGGGGGCTGAAGTGGGGAAGGTCGGCAGGACCAGGTCGTGGCTAGCAGTCGTCTCCACTCTGGCTGCGTGCACTTTAGAATCACCCGGGGGCTTGAGAGTCATACTCACACCCAGCTCCTACCCCAGGCCGACTGTCAGTCTCTGGGGATGGGATCCAGCATCAGTATTTTAAAAAAGCTCCCAGATGACTTAAGCCAGGTCTGAGACCTCCTTAGGAGCTGCCCACTCTGAATCGTTTTGACCCTTCTTCTGTCACCTCCCCAAACCGTGTTAACAAAGCATGTACCTGCCCCATTGTTGCTTCTCTCTGCCAGATGGTCAATCACCACCTCCCCTGACACTGGAATTGCCTGGTGGGATTTGAGAAATCCTGTCGCCTGTGCTCCCACCCTAGAGATTCTGATTTGGTTGGTTTGGGGCTCAGCCTGGGCACCAGAGTGTGTAACCCCCCCCCCCCCCCCGTACTTCTATAAATAGCCAGGGTTGAGAACTGCTGAGTTAGACGTGGTTTATTTGGTACAGATTCTGTGTCTGGCACTGTGCCCGTGTGGTCAATGCATTAATGATCAGGCTGCTCTCTGAGAACCTCAAACATACTGCTTGACTCATAGAAATGGCCCATGCGACCACTGCTTACTTCTTAATAACATCTATACATATATATAATTATTGTTCATATTTCAGGGCAGACACGCCCACCTTCCCTCATCTTGGCTTTGTTGGTTTCAAATCACCAAGCCTTCTAGGTCCACAGTTTCCTCTACTGTAAAAGAAAACGTTGCAGCTGGGGAGCCGCAAGGCACATCTGAGCCCCGATATTCAGGAGATTGGGGTGGACTCAGGCGTCTGACTTGGCTTTTTGTGTTGTCCCGGCAGAGGTGGCCAGAGTCACTTCGCAGGAGCCAAGAATAGGAAGAAAGGGAAGATGTCACACCCAGTGCCAGCACTGTCGGTAGCTCTTCTTGGGGGCTGGGGAGCAGTGCTGGGGCCCGTGGGGCACCGACCTCCCTACAGGTGGCTGCCGATGTGTCGGTTTTGTCTTGCAGACGTGAACCGCGCCCTGTGTGGTTTTCTAGCCCAGGAGATCGACTCTGTGCTGCTGTCGGTTGGGTGAATTGTTGGAGAAAGTCGGTGGGTGTTACCTGGGTGACAGAAGGGAGGGGTGAAGCCTTGGATGATTTGCAGAACAGAGGGAGAGGAGGTCCTAGGCCCCGAGAGAGGCACTCTTGCACATGCATCCATGGAGACAGGCGCAGCATCGTTCAAAACAGCCCAGACCCGAAACAACCCAAATGCCCCTTGACGGGGAGTGCATGAATCAACTGTGATAGTCAGTGTTATATTGCACAGCTAATAAGGCGTTATGGGATATGACATAGCTGTTCAAGTAAGGCATACCATACTGTGGATGAATATTGACAGTATAAAATTCAGTGAAAAATTTTTCAAAAAATTACATAAAGCCAGATACTTTGTCTACAAAATTAAAAACAATTAAAATCATAATAATACTTTTAAGGAATATACATAGATACAATGGAACTATGTAAAAAGGAAAGAAAAGGAGTGATGGATGCGGGATTCAAGGTAACTGTTCTCTCAGACTGGGAAGGCAGCGAGGTGGGATGGTGGTGGGGGTATTAAGGGCTTGGCTGAAAGTTCTGGTCAAGGTCCTGGCTGTGGTTTGGGGCGATGATGGTGCAGGTGCTTTTTGCATTGTTGAAACTAATACCTTCAAGTCCCAGTCTGGGTTTAGGCTGGGTTCGAGTCTCGGCACGTGGGTTCAAGTCCCAGTCTGAGGTGCACGGTTTCAATTAGGCCTGGGACAAACTTTAAAATATTTGTTTCTAGGCTTTTTTTTAGCTTGGGGCCATTTTGACTTAAAAAATAACTTTTTAGCTTTCCTTTAATGTTATTTGAAATAACTGAACAAAAAACTCAAATTAAATAATGTTTAAACGTGTCTTTGGGAATGAATAAATATTAATATTATTAATATTAAAAAGCCCCTAATACCTAATGGACTTATGAACTAACTAGCTAACAAATTAACTGCTGGCCATGCAGGGACCAGTGTTGGGAGCGTCTCAAGAAAACCATGACTCAGGGCACCTGAGGTTCTTTGAAAAGAGGAGAGGGGGAGCTTTTTAGTGGATGGAGGGGGCCATGGGTACCACTCACCAGAATTCCGGTTCTTAATCCAACAGATTACAGCAATTTACAGGGAAACAGTTTAGAGAAGGCAAGTGAGAGGAACTAAAAACTGCCCTTTTAGGTTCAACCTCTAGAACAAGCTCCCTCATACAACTTACTTAAAGTAACTTCCTTAGCATCTCTGGTTTTCTTGATGAGATTGAGGAAGACAGCATCTTTCCAGGATCCATCAACATACCTCCCAGCCGGCTGAGCCTTGTGTCTGAAATTCCACCATCAGAGTTCCGCCAGACTCTACATCTCTGAAGGGTGATAATAAAAACATCCCTTGAATGCATAAAGGTGTTAATAAGCACCTCTGTTAATACCCTGTAGGAAATTGTTGAGGATATTGTTATTCTAGATAGTTGAAAAGACCTAGCACGCAGGCCAGACTGGTTTTGATCGACAGGCTGGTGGAGGAAGAAAGGCAGGTAAGGTTCTGCACGCTGCCAGGGGGTTGCAGGTGGATGGTGCCTGTGAGGAAATGCCCCGAGAGCACTGTACGGGGGGAAATGGTCAGGAGCTGGGTGCCCCCTGATTCCTCATCAAGACATAATGGGGTTTCTTAAGTAAGCTCCTGGAGGAGATCAACCTTTCAACTGTTTGGTTCTGCATAGCCTTCACCCCTGTGGTGGATGGGCAAGAGAGAGTCCAAGGAGGCATGGGCATTTCTGCTTCCTTCTGGCAGGTCTGCGTTGTGATCTGCGGAGACAGCGCTGGGGCAGGGATCGCGACCTTGACCTCTCAGACCTTGGTGGGCAGATCCGGTCTTCCTCGGATCAGGGCCCAGGTCCTGATTTATCCCATTGTCCAACTCATTAATTTTTGGCTGCCATCCTTTCCGCAGAACCAACACGTCCAGCTCCTCACCCGGAAGTTCATGATGCGTGTTTAAATACGTGCTTATCGACTTCTGGTGGGATGCCACCTTGAGTGGTGCTTTCATTCCCCCGGAAGTCTGGAAGAAGTACTGGAAGTGGGTCAGCGCGGACAACGTACCCAAGAGATTCAAGAAGACAGACTACCAACCTGTGTTTCCTGCCCCTTTCAATGAGGCTGCCTATCTAGAAAACGATCCCTTGTTGGATGTGGAACATACACCCCTCATAAACGTTGATGAGACCATTGCCCAGCTTCCCAAGGCCTTCCTGGTGAGCTGTATGACGTCCTCCATGATGACATCTTGCTCTATAAGAAGTGCTTGGAGGACCAGTGGGTCCCCGTGACGTGGTACCACGTGGAGGATGGCTTTCATGGATCTCTGATATTATTTGATTGGAAGCCTTTCTCTTTCCCATGCTCCCTGAAAATTGTGAATGCTATAGTCAGTTGTATAAAGAGCACACTGTAACCCTGGGGCCCTGAGTAGGGCATAGCAAGTATGGTCTCTACTACGTGCTGAGTCCTTTGATGAATTGTATTTTATTGATTAAGGAGATGCTAAGTCAGGGCTTACCCTGCAGGGGAAGGATGAGAAGTAAGCTAAGAATAGTCTTGCCTAGTGTTTGAGAAAATCCAAACTGTGTCTGTTTCCTTTCAGTGCCAACAGTGTTCAATTCTGGATCTAGCAGCATTCTCTAACATTCTCATTCGGTTGAAATAAATAGTCAATGGAGAAAAAAATGCCTTTAAAATTTCTCAAAGCTCTAACACACAAGGCCTCTGCAGAATGAATGCCAACAGCTGGCCATACTGTCCATTGTGGGTATATACCCATAATGCTGAAGCAATTTTTGGGGTCAGGTATCTGTTGGAAGAGGGGGCACCTAATTGTTCCTGGGGCCAAAGGTCACCAGCCAAATTCCTGCAGATTGGTTACAGATTGGTTCCAGTTGGCCTGAGAAATGCTGCTGCAGTGGATCTCTGCCCTCAGTAGAGCCACATTTGGGCTGGACTAAGGGGAAGTTTTGGAAGAGATCACTGGAAAGGGAGATGCAAGAAGAAGCAAGAGGAAGGCAGTGAGGAAAAGGGTGGGCTCTGGGAGCTGGGGACTTTTCCTGGGCTTAAGTCTTTAATCTGAATTCCAAAACTAGATCACTGGTTACCAAGAGGCAGGGTCTCAGAGCCAAGGCTGTCTTGGGAATCTCTGGGTGCCATCTGGGATACGGAAACTGCATTCCCTAAAGCAGTAAGGTGTCAGATTTCTTTGGTGCACTTATATATTGGTCCCACTTTTACAAAGAACCTTGCCTTCACTTAGCTCACACCACTTTCTCTGCTCACAGAGAAAAGGAAGAGAATAATTATATTGCATGCTGGGGGCAGTCCACATTAGCTTTTGCATTGGGCCTGTGTTTGCTAGATACATTTGTAGTAGCACTGGGCCTCTCTGCAGCCTAGTCCTACCCAAGTGCTAAAGTTGGAGAATCTCTCTTCTCTGCAACCATAGCATCTCTTGGTGCCAAGGACCTCACCTATGACTGATGGAGGAGGGAGTCGTGGATTCTTGCAGAGGGGACAGATATCTACATAAGCAGTTTGGACTGGGATCCTGGGAGCATGGACAGGCATCATGATCCATGTGTTATATGCAAGCAGCTTTGATGGAAAAGTTTGTTAATTATCTATTGCTGTGTAACAACACTACCATGAACTTGGTGGCTTAAAACAACACACATTTATTATCTCACAGTTTCTGTGGGTCAGGAGTCTGAGAATAGCTTAGCTGCAATCAAGGTGTTGGGGCTGTGGTTTCATCTGAGGCTCAACTGGGGAGGGATCTACTTCCAAGCTCAGTCAGGTTGTTTGCAGAATGCAGTTTCTTGAAGTTGTAGATGGAGAGCTTCAGTTCCTTGCTAGCTGTTGGCCAGAGGCCTCTATTGGCTTCTAGAACTTTTTGCACGTGATTTTTCCCCACATGGCTGCTTTCTTCCTTAAAGTGAGCAAGGGAGAAAGACTTAAGCAAGCTAGCCACTAAAATCTAAAGTAATTTAATCACAAATGTAATCACATATATGCCAACACCTTTGCCTTATTCTGTTAGTTAGAAGCAAATCACAGGTCTTGCCCCCACAAGGGGATCACACAAGCATGTGAACACCAGGGGGTGGAGATCTTGGGGGCCACTGTAGAGTCGGTCCACCACATAAGGTGTCTCCAGAAGGGGATGGGAAGAACAGTCAACACAACTTCTCTGCCTAAGAAATACATTGGCTTGACTTTCTGGAGCTAGTGATGAGCTAGCTGTACATTATGGGCTGTACATTGAGACTCTTCCTCATAGGGTCCCCCAGGAGAGGTCCTCTCATCTCTCCCCGGTCCTAACTCCCGTCACATCACCGTCATCTGGTTTCCCCAAGGGGCAGTAATCTGGACCTTCCTCTAGTCTCTTCCCAGTCTATTTTTATGATAAACTCTATGCTCTTGCATTAGTCAGGGTCCAATCAGGAGAAGGAAATCACACCACTCGTCTTCTTTTTTCCTTTGCAAGTCTTTATTAGCCTCAAGTACAGTAAAATCTTCTGAAGACATTTTCTGACTTCAAGGATCTACCTAAAAATTACATCCAGGAACACTCATAGGAAAGTGTGGACACACAAAGTATCTGGACAGCTGAATGTACCACAATAGAAGATTTGTTAAGTAAAAAGTCAAGATTATTGATTTTTTTTAAGGGCTGGGCAAAGACATAGGGCTCTTCTAGTCTAACCAATCATTAAAAAATTTTTTTATTCTAAAATAGTTGATTTACAATGTTGTGTTACTTTCTGCTATACAGCAAAGTGAATCAGTTATACATATACATATATCCACTCTTTTTCATATTCTTCCCATATAGGTCATTACAGAGTATTGAGTAGAATTCCCTGTTTTATACAGTAGGTCCTTATTAGTTATCAATTTTATATATAGTTGTGTGTCTATGTCAGTCCCAACCTCCCAATTTATCCCTCCCCTCCTCTCCACCCTGGTAACCATAAGATTGTTTTCTCTATCTGTGACTCTATTTCTGTTTTGTAGGTAAGTTCTTTTGTAGCATTTTTTTTAGATTCCACATACAATATCATACGATATTTGTCTTTCTCTGTCTGACTTACTTTACTCAGTATGATCATCTCTAGGTCCATCCATGCTGCTGCAAATGGCATTATTTCATTCTTTTTTATGGCTGAGTAATATTCCATTGTCTATACGTACCACATCTTCTTTATCCATTCCTCTGTTGATGGACATTTAGCTTGCTTCCATGTCCTGGCTATTGTAAACAGGGCTGCAATGAACATTGAGGTGCATGTCTCTTTTCAAATATGGTTTTCTCTGGGTATATGACCAGGAATGGGATGGCTGGGTCATATGGTAGCTCTATTTTTAGTTTTTTAAGGAACCTCCATACTGTTCTCTATAGTGGCTGCACCAATTTACATTCCCACCAACAGTGTAGGAGGGTTCCCTTTTCCCCACAACCTCTCCAGAATTTATTGTTTGTAGATTTTTTGATGATGGCCATTCTAACTGGTGGGAAGTGACACCTCATTGTAGTTTGATTTGCATTTTTCTAATAATTAGTGATTTTGAGCATCTTTTCATGTTTTTTTTTTTTTTTTTTGGCCATCTGTATGTCTTCTTTGGAGAAATGTCTATTTAGATCTTCCACCCACTTTCTGATTGGCTTGTTTGTTTTTTTGTTATTGAGCTGCATGAGCTATTTGTATATTTTGAAGATTAATCCCTTGTCTAACCCCATCATTTTGCAGTTGAGGAAACAGCTGCTCCAAGAGTGAGATGATTCACCCAGGATCACCCGGGGATACTCGAGGCATGAAAGGGGGAGTGGCAAGAGTGTCTGAAAAATCAGGCGAAGTATAGCTTGCACAGGCTTTGTAGGCCATGTAAAGAAGTTTAGAGTTTAGCTTAAAGCCTTTGGGATACTAATGTTTTTAATCACAGAAGCAACATGATTAGATTTATATTTTAGAAAAAGTGTCCTGGAGGAAGTTGGGAAACATGTTGCAAAGGACTGAATGGTTAGTTAAAATGCTACAACAATCCCCCATCCCCTCCCTGCTCTCCACAAAAGCAAAAACAAACAAACAAAAACATATATACACACACACACAAACCCCCAAACAATCTACTAGAACGGAACAAGGGATGGAGGAATGGGATGACAATATTGGCTGTAGGGCTAGAGAAGAGAGAACAGAGTTGCATCTTATTAAGGAGGTAGAAGGAGACTCAACAGCAGTTTGTGACCAGAGTAGGTGGGGGAAAGTGTCGAGGGGTGAGCATAGTGCATAGCATGAAATGACTAGGCACATGGACTCTGAATCCAGTGAGTTACTTAACCTTAATGGAGCTGGTAAGCATGTCGTTTAGAATACCTTAGTGAGACATAAATAAAGTGGGGGGTGGGACATGAACCCCTCAACAATCAAGGGGGCAACCATCCTAGTGAAATTTCCGGGGGCTCAACTCCAAGATAAGAGAGAAGTTGCTGCCCTTGTATCACCTACTATGACAAATGCACAATGCTCATTAGGCATTTCTGGATTTGGGGGAGGCAACATGCTCAGCTACAAAACTCCTCATAGCCTATTGCCTTTTTTGAGTGGGGACCAGAGCAAGAGAAGGCTCTGTAGCAAGTTCAGGCTGTAGTAGAAGCTGCTCTGTCACTTGGAAACCCTACCGCATATGACCAGCCAGTTACTGTCAACCTGTACCCTACAACTGTTGTAGGTCCCACCTGGCTGACCCCAAAATCGTAAGCCATATTTTCTTTCCAGGGGCACCGTGTGTTCCCATGGGGCCATACTTCTTGTGTGGAAGGTGCATATTAACTTGTGTCCCTCCCCGAAGTACAGTGACTTGTGCCTCCCAAGAGGTGAAAAACCTCATATGAGGGCTTCGAGTGTTTAAGGAAACATCACCTTGGCGCTAACATACATTCAGATAAGCCCTGACTCCCTGCCCAGGGTTACTGCAGATAAAATTGCTTTCGTGTCCCTCCTTGTGGGATGAGGCAGAGTTTGCACAGTTGTTAATACATCCTGCTGTACCTGGATTTATGCTTCAGGTCCAACAGAAAAATCAATACAAAACTTAAGAGAAAGCCACTTGCCTTTCCAAGGTAAATCCTGATGGATTATCAGAGTTTTTCACCTGGTTGCATCTGCTACCTGTTAGCCTGATCCTAATTCTTGGGGCCGTGTAGAAAGTACTGCTAATCAAATGCCCTGTAAGATGAACTAAAGACTTCCCCCCTCCTCCCAGCCTCTGTCAGTCAGGTTAATTGGAGTGGATGAAGGAGAGGCATACTCATGGAAAAATTTGCCAGAAGACAAGACCATGTGGAAATGAGGAAATCTTTTTGGGACACGATTCTCCATGGGTCTTTCATGTTTCTGTACTTCTTGTGAACAGGCACTGGTAGCTTTGGATCCAGACTGTCTTTTCAAAGACATTTGTAGAGTAAACAATCCTGGAGGACAGAGGTAGTGTTCCGCGCCCCCCCAACTGTTTCCA